CCGGTAGTAATCGAGAGCAGACTGTACTGAACACCGGGGGGAGAGATAATCCTAGTCCCAGAGTATTTTATTATGTTTTAACTAAACAAAAAATTATATTATTAATGTAATAATACAATTAATACAATGTAACATCAATGTGCATTTAGGTAAAGGTTTATTAATTTCACCTGAGTCACTCTAACTTTTTACTTTCTATTTAAATGGCCTTTATTTATTAAAATTTTTGTAAGATATAGATAACATAGTGTTACAATAAGGTAAAGGTTAAAACTGGTATATGTGACTAACGTAATTTAATTTGCTAAACTGTATTTTGTTAGGGCGCCGGCTGTTGGAAGCGTTGGCTGCCATCGAGCCGGACATCAATGAGCACCAGAGGTCGTACTTGAGATCGGGTCTGAAGAACTCGTTCAGAGCTGGTCTACACATACACAAGAAGTACAGATCAGTACAGCAGTTGATTCCCTTCGAAGACTACTATACCATACGGAGCGCTCAGTCGGGTATATAAGTTATCATTTGTATTTAATACCTCGTGTTATCTAACAGTTACTATTAATAGTAATATTTAATACTATTCCCATTAACTATACAGTATATGTTTTATCTATTATTTACTATTTGATTATATACTTATTCATTATATAATCTAGTTTTACATAAGTGTCAAATATGTTATTGCTGATAATTAATACTAATCATACAATCATTTCATGTTGGGTGATGTCTAAAAGCGTGGGGTTATTTCATAGCGTTGGCCGAATACAGTGTCGAGTACTCAATACCGCAAACCTTACGCTTCAACGAATATGTGCTCCGCTTTTACGAGACATCCGTACGGCTGGGACTGGCGGTGGAGGACTACTTCACGGCCCGCAGCAAACTGGCCACCAATGACCCGACCAATGGTGTCCTGTCCTACGCGCACACCAACCGGTGTTCAGTACAGTCGGCTCTCGATTACTACCGGCGATGTATCGATGAGTTGGACACAGAGTGTAAATCACTGGTGAGTGCCATACGGGCCGACCCGGAGCTCTGTACCAAAGGTCTGGACAATTATATCGGGTGCGTTGTGGACACGCCGGCAATGTTTCAACAATTAAGTGGCCATTTGTTTGACTTTCACTATAAGGACGGCTATATTTATAGCCCGGTGTGGGAAAGGCTTAATGAAAGTGTGGTCAAAAATTATCATGTTTAATGATTTTATTAAATATTAAATATAATACTGTCAGGATAAGCAAGTATTTTTTGTAAAACATATTTTATTAATCATTAAACTAGTTAACATAATTAATTATACTGTTATGATAAAATAAAATTGCATTTGTAAAACTTATTTATTTAAAATGTTTTTAAAAATACATAATTTTTTAATTAATTGTCATATAATATCAAATACTTTGATGTAGTTTAATTAACAAACGCCAATTTCAGAGAATATTTAAATTTAAATAACAGATTAATTGTTAAGTTTAATATTTAAATATTGCAAATTAAATTCACAATAAAAAATAACTGTAAAATGAATGATTATTTCAAAACTCAATTAAATGATAAATAAATTGTTGTTCTTGTGTTCTGACAGTGAAATGACAACATTAGTTATCCATATGTCAGGCCATTAAATCGCAATCATATTGTCATTTTGGGAACCGCTTATAATTCATTTTTATTAATTTTACTTAACATTGCACTGAAATATATTAAATTTTGAGCTTTTTTACAATAAATAGAGATTGTACTCTAATTGTTTTCGTGACACAGTATATTGCAATTGTATTATAGATGTTGATATTATTTAGCTACAACTACTGTACCATCTTATGGTGTTTAAAGTTAGTAAATTAAATTTTAATACAGTATATGCAATATAATTCTATAACCATCTGTTATAAACTTACATTATTTACCTTTATGAATATTGAAATTTTAAAAATGCACTTATTTAGTTTTTATAATTATTGATTGAAATATTTACAAGTTTTCATATTTAAATAAGTGACCATGTTCATGTGAGTGTTGCTATATCTTATTGGCATATGCTGTACCTACTTATAATATACTTAATATTATTATTATTATTAAAACTGAATTTATTGTTAATAGTGTAACGTGGTTAGATATTTGTTTCACATTTATAATTGGACTGGTTGCATTCTATCTGGTAGGATTTTATTCAAAGTTATGTAGTTACCCACCTGGTCCAACACCACTACCAATAATTGGCAATATACTATGTATGCATATACTTTAATTATTTTTATTTGGCAATTAATTAATAATATTTTTATTAAAATAATTTAAAAAATAAATTATTACATATACAGAGAATTTTAATTAATACTTAAGCTTAATAATTAATGTTTAATTAATTTGTATTTAAATAGTATTTAGAAATCAAAAACATCACATAAACCAAGAACTGGCAAAACTATACAAACTGTATGGACCGGTGGTGACCGTATGGGTCGGTCCCA